GTGCGATTGAAGGATAACTTTAAATTCCACTATTCTCTCAAACAAGAGTAGCCCAAGGGTTAGGGAAGGGTGCTTTTGACTAGCTCCCTTCCATCAGTTCAAAAATAAGGACGGCTAGCGTAGATAACTCTTGAGTAGACTTGCGCGAATGTTTGAAAACAAACAAACAACAACAAAAACTGGATTTACTTTAGTTGGCTTAATGATTTAAAAAAATTGCCTTTAATATTTATATGTTTCCGCAATAATCATACAAAGCAAATACCCTGCGCTAAAGATTTACCAAATTAGGCCTAAATGAAATTAGTTTGGAAACCTTGCGCTAAAGATTTATCGAATTAGGCTTAAACGAAATTAGTTTGGAAACCTTGCGCTGAAGATTTATCGAATTAGGCCTAAACGAAATTAGTTTGGAAACCTTGCGCTGAAGATTTACCGAATTAGGCCTAAACGAAATTAGTTTGGAAACCTTGCGCTGAAGATTTACCGAATTAGGCCTAAACGAAATTAGTTTGGAAACCTTGCGCTGAAGATTTATCGAATTAGGCCTAAACGAAATTAGTTTGGAATGTAAATTGAACGAAGTAATAGTGTAGTGATTTTTTAATCATAGACCAAATGCTCTTTTTAACTCCACGTTTGCCACGAGTTCCCATTATAATCTTCATGAAATAACCAAACATAATTTTCAAAGAATCTAACTGGCGTAAGCCTTTTTTTTTTAACTTTATTTTACCACGATTTCTTGTTCTCTGTTAATCATCAGTTGAAGGTTAAAAGGTTTAAACAATTAATACGGTACAGATACGGAGTGGAATAATATTAAATTAACTACCAATAGAATTTGCTTGAATCAGTTTTAATTTACTTTATTTCTCTGAAATCTTAAATCTGTCCAATAAACCTTAACCGTGTGTGTGTGTGTTTCCTTATAGCAAAGCCACATCGGGCTATCTGCTATGTCCTCCGAGGGGAATCGAGCCCCTGATTTTACCGTTGTAAATCCGAAGACTTATCACTGTCACATCGGGGGACAATAAATCTCAAACTCAACAGCCTTACATCTCAGAAGCTCTGCAGAATTAAGAATAAAACAAACCAGTTATTAAAAACCTGAGGTAAGAATGTTCCACAGAGTTGTTATTTCTAGTTAAGCACAAAGCTACACAATGGGCTATCTGTGCTCTGCTCACCACGTGCATCGAAACCTGGTTTCTAGCATTGTAAATCCGTAGATATGCCGCTGTGCCATTGGGGTGACATTCCTCAAAGAAGACACAGAAAAACGTAAAACCCATGCTCTCCTGGAGTTCTTCGGTGTGTCAGCAGACTTGCAACAGTAAAATCTAGAGTCTCGCGGTGGAAAGAGCTCAGATAACCCACAGTGTAGCTTTGTTCTAAAACCAACAAACAAATAAACCAACAATCAACCAACACCCACGGACGAATATATATGAAGAAAAAGCAGTTGAAATGTTGAGCTTCGGTTTCCATTTTTTTTTTTTTCATTTCACATTATAAGATAAAAATCGATTGAACTGGAATTTTTATTAGCTGACTGGCATTACTCATTAGCGGTATGATTTAAAAGTTAATGTCTGGTCCACTGAATAGGCTTAGAAATAAATAAAAAACTCTCAAAGCTCATATAGTTTTCTAACACCAGATGACCTTGGGCTTTATGAAAGTTCATTCTTCAAACGACCAGTTTTGATTCTGATATGAACGAGTTACCTGTTAGTGGCGTCCAGGAGAGTTTGGACAGTGCCGTCATACCTGTCTGCAGCACTTCCTTGAAACTACTTTTTGAGAACAAGTTATAGCTGAGAAGTCAACCACCCTTCTACTGGTCATCAACAAAACATTTGTTTTTTTGGACAGGCAGCCTTAGGTCTTTCAGCGAAGCTATTTAGTAATAACATATCTCATTTTCAAATGAAGGTATACAATACGAAACGACTATAAGACCGTAAATGGTGTAAGCTGAAAAGTGTAAGTCTGCAGACATACCACTGTGCCACTGGAAGGCGCTGAAAAGGGTCTTAACATGTTGTTGTTTTTTCTTAGTTTTTTCCAGAAGTTAGGTTTAAAGAAATAAAAAGCTACACAATGGTCTATCTGTGCTCTACCCACCACGGGTATCAAAACCCGGTTTCTAGCGTTGTAAGTCTGCAGACATACCACTGTGCCACTGGAGGGCGCTGAAAAGGGTCTTAACATGTTGTTGTTGTTGTTGTTTTTCTTAGTTCTTTCCAAAAAAAAAAAGCACAGGATGTTAAAAAAAATATAAAGCTTACCAATGAATAACGCTTGTGTTCAATTGGATAAACTATTATATAAACCAATTACTTTTTTTCCCCTCTCTCTTTATCAGTGTTTGTTTATAAAAAAACTTCAGTAACATTCACTTTGGACGTGGCCATGTATTAGAACTCCAGATTTAGATTTTGGAGCTGACGAACCGGTTTGGAATATTCTTCACATTTTAAGCTTTGGATGTGTCAATCCCCTAGCGCGGACAGTGGGTGGTAGGGTCCTGATGACTGGTTACTGGTCAGTAGTTGGAAATTAGGGACAGCAACAGAACTTTGCCATAAATTCGAAATACAAAATATTCACTTTTATGGTCAGTGCAACAAAATATATGCAACCATTTCAATCACCCACCCACTAGCGCACTCTACATATCCACAAAAGAGATGTGTGTATATTACTTGGGTTACAGAGTACAACAAGAAACCATGTTTTGATACTGAAGGACCAGTGTTCCTGTCTAAAGAAAGAATACTTCATCAGCTGGAAGTAACAATGTGTGTGGTTTTTATTATAAACTGACTGAACTTTGCAATTTTTAGCCGCGGCATAACGGCTCATAGAAGGACTCTGAGGTTTTTTTTTTTTCAAGTACAAACTTTTAGCTCATAGCTTCGTCATCTCATGACCAATTTGAGTTCTGATTACAGTTTGGACTCAGGAGGTCAAACTCTTCACATTAATGTATTTGATCATGCACAAGGTCTTATAGATTAATTTACTGTAATCCTGCCCAAAATAATTTTAATTTGAGGGTAGGCTGGTAGATATCCTGACGAGTAATAAAACTGAATCGGGTATACGCGTGCAACACACTTGATATTGCTGGCGCACAAACATGTAGGTAATACGAAGGGGGGGGGGAGGTCTCATAGATTAATTTGCTCTAATCATACCTAAACTAATTTCAAGTGGCGCGGCTATTGAGGATTCTCTCTCTCGTTTTTATTGTTGATTGTTCTGCAGTTTAAGCAGTAACATGCAATAACCTAACGGAAGAACTATTAACTACCGAGTAAATGAATTTGAATATTAATGCTAAAGTTCCACCGCTAGGTATTGGTTAAAAGCTGATTTGAATAAATTAAGTATTCAAATGTTTATATTATGAGTAAATTAATCTACAATCAAGATGTTTAGGAAATATTTTTTGTGCTGCCATGATGACAGGAAAAAGTCCAAACGGTTTGCCAACCAGTTTTATGAGCCTTAATAATATATATATCTTGTTTGTTTTTGAATTTCGCGCAAAGCTGCACGAGGGCTATCTGCGCTAGCCTAGCCGTCCCTAATTTATCAGTGTGAGACTAGAGGGAAGGCAGCTAGTCATCACCACCT